GCATTGTTTTTCATGTTTAAAAATTTTATTTCAATGGTATCATCCAGTATGTATTCTGAAACTTGCTATTTTCACTCAGATTATGTCCTTGAGATTTGTCCATGTTGATCCACATACTCAAGTTCATTATTTTTCCTGCCGTAATAGGTTTATGCTACTATTTGTCTACCTATCCTCCTGTTGAAGGATATTTCGGTTATTTCTAGCTTTCACCATTGTAAACAATGCTGAAATGAACTTTCTTGGACATTTCTCTTTGGGTACGTGAATGAAAGTTCTCTAGAGTATATTGATAAGTATGAATTGCTGGAAGGAGGGCGAGGTGCACCTTAAATCCTACTAGTGCATGCTGTTGGTGCTTTTCACTGGTTGGTTCATCCCTGCCTACCAGCTGCTGTGAATGTTGGCTGCTAATGACTTATGACTGCCCTTTCTCTGGTGGGAGAAGTTAAGCACCACCCTCCCCCCGCCTTTTACTGCCCTGGGAAGTAGAGGGGAGCCAGTGGCCAAGGACTGGCTGACACTGGGTAGACAAAGCTAGCTCCTTACCTCTGGATGGATTTGATTCATTGGATGCAATTTATGTTCTTGAGTTCCTCTGAAGACCAGGCTGAAACTAAAGTACTGAGTCCCTACTTACCCCCATCTTCTTCTGAGGGCACTCCTTCGATAGACCACTCTCACAATTCCCGTAAGCCAGGGAACCTGACCCAAGGTAATAATAATGTTTTGCCAAAGACTCTCCAAAATGGTTGTATCAATTTATGCAGTTGAGCTGAAGCTCAAAGGCTGAGAAAGAGAAAGCCATTCAAGGAGTTGAGGAAAGAGTTCCAGGCAGAGGGAAAACAAAGACAAAAGCTCTGAGATGAAATAGCTCTGTAAATTCAAAGAACTGAGAGAAAGTCAGTACCGCTGAAGTTTTGGGAACAATAGAAAGAGAAGGATAGTGGTTGGGCTTGTAGATACGTGTAGGAGTGAGGCCAGGCAGGACTTATAGGCTGTTTTACATTTTTTCTAATAGTAATAGGAAGTTCTTGAGATGAGTTAAGCAGGAAAGTGATAGGGACCAGCTTAAGCTTTAAGAAAATTACTCTGGTGTATATAGAGAATGGATTGGAAAGAGGTAAGAGAAGCAGGGAGTTGGTGTCCATAGAGCAAGGAGAATGGATCATAAAAAATAGTGTTAGTGCAAAAAAGTAAGAAACATGATGGGATCTACAACATAATACTCTTTGTGTATATAAAACACACGGCATACAAACAGATGTATTCTTCGGGGATACATGTGTATATCGAAGTGGCTGCCTATATAGGGGAAAAAGAAGTGAGTGGAGATTGGAGCTTATAAAAGACAATGAAGCCAGAGACATGCTTTGCAAGGAATGGAGGTGATGTGCCTTGAATCGGGGTCTATAATTTACTCAATTCTACACCCAAAGAAAACAGAAATCGAGACAGCAGCAACCACCACTTTCCCCACCACTATTTTCCCTCTCTTGGAGATCCCTGTTTGGGATGGGGAAAGGTCAAAGATTGTGCCCCACTTTGCTTCAGAGAGTAATAACTTGTTCTGAGGGCCTCCAGGACCAGGTTCTCAGAGAGACGTTAAAAATAATCTAAACTGGGGCGCCTGGGTGGCGCAGTCGGTTAAGCGTCCGACTTCGGCCAGGTCACGATCTCGCGGTCCGTGAGTTCGAGCCCCGCGTCAGGCTCTGGGCTGATGGCTCAGAGCCTGGAGCCTGTTTCCGATTCTGTGTCTCCCTCTCTCTCTGCCCCTCCCCCGTTCATGCTCTGTCTCTCTCTGTCCCAAAAATAAATAAACGTTGAAAAAAAATTAAAAAAAAAATAATAATCTAAACTTTTACTTACTCTGTGGCTTCATTGGGTTGCAGAGACTTTCCCTAGTGAGCGATTTCAGCATCTTAGTCAGAACCTGAAAGCCAAAAGAAGCAGAAATTCTCTGGAGCCTCATTAGTGAGGAAGCAGATGGAGCCTTGAGGCAGTCTGATGACTGGTTCTGGTGCGATTCCCCTGATGCCACTTCGCAGCCTAATTCCTCAGTTCCCTGGGGGGTTCCATGGAGCCAGCCCTGTCTCTGGGTTCCAAGAGAATCCAGGCTGAGATATCTTGTCTTTGCACAAGTTTATGTCCTGGTCCCAGGAGACCTGGAAACCAACTTCTCCCATATGTGGTGTAGCTCTGTGACCTCATCACCCAGGGCAGGGATCGACACCCATTAGGTATCAGCAAATGTCTGCAGATAAAAAGTGAGTGCCTGAATACTTGACTGAGGACAAGGGCCTTGATATTTTCCTTTAAGTGCTCATGAAAGCGTATGGCATACTGTCCAGATGTATTTGTCAACTCATGTTCAAAGAATTAGTTAAGGTTGCTTCTTTGTGTCTCTGTGTAGCTTTGAGAGACTTAAAGTCCTGGTGACTAGCAATCATGTTTCTGGAGGACTGTATGTCAGTTTTATCCAATGTCATGCTGCTCTGAGGGACTTCAGAGACTCCTCCGGATACTGTTCAAGAAACTCCCAATCCCAAATGTATTGGGCAAGCATCCATGGACTGTAGTAGTTTCTCAGTGATTAGCATCTGAGCTGAGGAGTATGGAGGAAGCCAAATGTTGCTGAATGGAACCTTAACCAAATAACCTCCCAATAGGCAAACACTAGCAATGTCTTCTAGGCCCCAAATCTTGGGCTGGGGCCTGCAGACCTTGAGAGGAATGAGTGATTCTCACCCAGAGATACCCTAGATCTTGGTCCATTGGGAAACAAGCATAAGTAAATATCACCTCTAATCCCATCACCCAGAGACAACTGCATGCCACATATTGGTATATTTACTTTTAATATTTTTGTGTACATATAGAAAGTGTTCCTTCTTGTTGTCTTATCACATAAGAAATTTCATGCTCATAAATGTGTTGCCTAATATTTCACCTGTCATAAGTACCATCATATGCTTAAGCATTTCCTAGTTGATGGGCATTTAAGCTCTTTTATTTTTATTTATTTTTTTTTTAAATTTTTTTTTCAACGTTTTTTTTTTATTTATTTTTGAGACAGAGAGAGACAGAGCATGAACGGGGGAGGGGCAGAGAGAGAGGGAGACACAGAATCGGAAACAGGCTCCAGGCTCTGAGCCATCAGCCCAGAGCCTGACGCGGGGCTCGAACTCACGGACCGCGAGATCGTGACCTGGCCGAAGTCGGACGCTTAACCGACTGCGCCACCCAGGCGCCCCGAAGCTCTTTTATTTTTAAAGTTATAAACAGTATTGTGATGGATATCTTTGTTTATAAGCTGATTCCATTTTGAATGATTTATCAGGACATGTATCCCTAGCCATGGAATTATAGGGTCAAATTATATGTCTCCATGGCTCTAATCATCTTTTCTTTTCATTTGAGAGAGAGAGAGAGAGAGAGAGGGAGAGAGCATAAGAACTGGGGAGAGGGGCAGAGGGAGAGAGAGAATCTGAAGCAGGCTCCACACTCAGCACAGAGCCTGATGTGGGGCTTGATCCCATGACCCTGGGATCATGACCTGGGCTGAAATCAAGGGTCAGACCTTCAACGGACTGAGCCACCTAGGTGCCCCTTCTAGGTATCTTTTATATGCTAATGTCTTCCAAATGTGTGCCACCACCTAAGAGGTTTTATACCTTAATACCTTCTTGCCATCTACCCTGCTCACCTCTCAGAAACTCAAACTCTTCTCTATATTAATTCATTATGCTCCCTCCCCAGGTCCCCCAAGTCAGAAATAAAGGATCATCCTTGATTTTAACCTTTCTTGTACCTCTAAGATCCAGTCCCCTCTTGAGGCTTCACGATTTCATCTCCAAACATAGCTAGATCATCTCTTTTCCTATCTCTCCTGCTCCCATCCTAGCTCAGGCCACCTTCCCTACTTGCTGGGCCGCTGCTCTCTCTGCTTCTGTTCCTGTCTGCCTCCAGCCCAGTCTCCTTGCAGCAACCAGAGTCGTCCATTCAACCTAAACCAAACCATCCCGCTCCCCCAGCTGAAAATGCTTCAGTGGCTTCTCGTTGAAGTTATGGCATGAAAACCAGGATGACTTTCTGGCTTGATCTGCCCTTACACACCTCTCCATCTCAACCTGTTCCACTCACAGCCTTGCTAACAAACCACTAGCACTGACATTCTTTCAGCCCTCAAACACACGTCTGTGGTTTTGAAGATCCTGGTCCCTCTCTCTGGAAGGCTCCTTCCCCGACTCTCAGAGGAGCTGGCACCCTCTTGGCCCTCCGGTGGCAGCTTGAACGTCTCTCAGACACACTTTCCCTGACCAACCAATCTACGAAAGTGGCCACTCCTCCTCCAGTTATTCTCTGTCTCAGATTATGGTTTCCTGGGGACACTCATTGTCGTGATTAGTTTTTTCCTTGTCTGTTTGCTTTTAGAAGATCTCTTCTGTACCGGTCTGTAAGCTCCATGAAGGGAGGCAATCATGTCCATCTCATTCTTGGTTTCCCCAGCACCTAGCCCAATGCCTGCCATCAGTAAATATACATGAATACAATAAGAAGGAGGGAGGGGAGACCCCCATAACTGAGGTTGTTTTTTGATGAGGGGTGTTGGTTGTCTGGGCTGCTCCTAAAAGGGGATTTGGCTTGTGAAGACTGAGTGCAAGGACTTCAGCAGCAGCAAGAGCCCAACTCTCCACACTGCCCCCATGGGGTCGCTGGGTGGTGGCACCAACGCAGCTCTGACCACCTCATCATTTGACCAGTGGAGGGCTTGTTATTGTTAGATTTCAAGGGGGGGAAACTGAGGCCTAGAACAAGTCAATAAATGAATCACAGCCCAACTAGTAGTGGAGCCAGGAGCAACCTGAGATCATTGTCCCCTAGCAGTGTGTCTGTGGCATTACTCTGTCCTAGATGGGGACTGCGCATGGAAGTCTATGAGACTTCCAACCATGAAGCTGGAAGCATTTTCCTTGAAATTGGTTTTAAGGTAGTGAGCTCCCCATCAAAGGGAGATACGAAGACAAGACAAAATGTTCTTTAGACAGGGATGCTAAAAATCCAGTTCCTCTATTTAGTTTTCAATTAGCAATAATCGCGCCTCGGATAAACCTCATTGGCTACGATACTGCCAGTGCGCAAAGCTTCCAGTTCCTCTATTTAGATGGTGTGGAGGGGGGTAGATGGGCTTGTTTGAATCTAGAATCCTTTCATCACTGAATCAGTGGTGCTAGGAGTTTGGTAAGAGAGACAACGGGCTGGGGCACCTGGGTGGCTCAGTCGGTGAAACATCCGACTTGGGCTCAGGTCATGATATGCTTCGTGAGCTCGAGTGCCCCATCCAGCTCTATGCCGATAGTTTGGAGCCTGGAGCCTGCTTCAGATTCTGTTGTCTCTGTCTCTCTCTGCCCCTCTCTCACTCGTGCTGTCTCTCTCTCAAAAATAAGTAAACGTTAAAAAATTAAACAGAGAGAGAGAGAGAGAGAGAGAGAGAGAGAGAATGGGCTGAAAGGATCTATGGTTTGGGAGTTCTAAAATCATCCTATCCATCAAAAATAGGAAAGAGGGGGAGTGGGCTGGTGGGGGAGGCAACAAAGTGAAAGAAGAGAGAAGGAGAATCTGGTTTACTTCTTGTAAATAAAACCCATTTCCCAATAGCCTTGTTCATTGGAGTGATTACCCATGTTTGTCAGAAGGAGCTGCCTTGGGATTGCTTCCCTGAGGCTGCCCCAAAACTAACAAATAGGCCTGACATAGTCCTGACTCAGTTGAGACTCAGGCACCTGAGCGCCTTCCTTCCTGAACTTGAGACTCAGGCGCCAGCTCTTGGGTCCCCCAGCCTTGCTGGGGTGCCCACAGACTTACAGTTGGTCTCCTCTATTAGGGGACCAAAGATCCAGGTACCAGCTCCTCTACTTTTCACCTGTACCCTCCAGCCCTGAATCCCACAGTCTTACTTAAGATGCTTCATGTTCTGACTGTGAATTTTCATTGAATGGAGGAGAAAAGTGGAGGCAACAGAACCAGTGAGCTCTAAGACCAGCACAGAGCTGTGGGTAAGGTTTGGACATCATAGCCTCTCTCTCTCTCTCTCTCTCTCTCTCTCTCTCTCTTCCTTTCATTATCTTTTCTCCTCTCCACTTTCTCAGTCACACAAACACACTCACATACTTTGAAAATTCTTCATATAATCTAACTTTTAGTATTTAAAGGTAATTAGCAATCCCTCCAATCTTTTCAGTGCTCTGTTGCATGTAGTTCCCAAGCCTGCAAGGAGGCTTCACGGGTGGGACGGAGAGGCTTGGGGACGTTGCATGGCCTCCTCAAGCTGCTGCAGCTAGGGAGCAACAGAAGAGGTGAGAAAGGCCAGTTTTCCAACACCGTGTTTGGAGCCCTTTTCTGAACTGTGCCTACAGCTTCTGCCCTCCTGCTGAGCAGACCTGCAGAGGGGTTTGTGCCTCTAAGGCCACCTGACCACACAAGTGTTCAACCTGCTGAGTCGTACAGATTCAGAACAGCATTTCTGTACAATCAGAACCACCAGGTGATGGCTAAAAAGGACTTGGTTCTCAGCACAGAGACACCGACTCATCTCAAGGACCTGAACCTCTTTTAAAAATCTGCATCACAGGTGATTCTGATGCACACGAAGGTGTGGGGGACACTTGCCTTGAGGACTAGAAAGCAGATGGGCCAATGTCCCTTGAGTGTCCAGCCCTGTTACCTGCCTCCGACCTCACTCCTATCAGTCGGGAGCCTGAGAGAGCCCTGAATCCAGGCACCCAGCTGGTTGTGGAGGGTGTATTTCCCTGTTCCTCCTTCTCATCATCACAACACGGGGTACACATCACTAGCTCGAGACAGATTAACCTGCACGTTTTCTATTTTATTGTGTAAGAGGAAGCTGAAATTTTAATTTAGCTGTTATTGCAAAAATCTTTGCATATATAAATGAGAAAGTTTTTTTTAATCACTTTGGATGCCCATAATCATGGATATATTTAATGGATTACATAATTTTTTAGAACAGCTTTATTGAGATGTAAGTCAATACTATTAAAATTAACCCATTTAAAGTATACAGCTCAATGGTTTTAATACAGTCACAGAATTGTGCAACTATCACCACAACCTAATTTTAGAACATTTTCGTGACTCCCCTAAGAAGCCCAGTACCCATTAACAGTCACTCCCATTTCACCCTTCCCACCACCCCTGGCAACCACTCGTCTACTTTCTGTCTCTACGGATTTGCCTATTCTGTATTGTTTTTTTTAACATTTGTTCACTTTTGAGAGTGAGAGAGACAGAGCATGAGCAGGGGAGGGGCAGAGAGAGAGGAAGACACAGAATCTGAAGCAGGCTCCAGGCTCTGAGCTGTCGGCACAGAGACTGATGCGGGGCTCAAACACAGGGATCACGAGATCATGACCTGAGCTGAAGTCGGGCACTTAACCTGACTGAGCTACCGAGGCACCCCTATTCTGTAATTTTTTTAAGCAAAATATCTACTGTTGAATGTTTATGTTGTTTCTACATTTTTCCTATTACTAACAAGGCTCTGATACACATACATACACTTTTTTTTAACATTTTTTCTGGCTATAGTCTTAAGATAAATTTCTAGAACTAAAAAGTACTTAATCAAAAGCATGTTCTTTTGTTTGTTTGTTTCCAGAATCACAAAATGACACTGCTGAGTGTACATTTTTCTCCTTTTTGGTGTGTGTGGAAAATACCCAGTAATGTGGAGAAAATCTTTTTCAAGAGTAACTCCGTGTGTGTGTGTGTGTGTGTGTGTGTGTGAAAATGTACTTTATAGCAGATTTCTATGACCTTCAGGAAATACAAAATTCAATTTACAGAACACTGGAAGACCAGGTATAAGCAGTCTGGTATTTGCTTCCATGTTCAGCATGACCACAGTGATTTCTAGCATAAAAGCATCAAGTTCCTGGATCTCAAGTATCTTCAATAGCTGCCAGTCTAATTTAAGACTATTGTGCTTGCTTCTTCAAGAGATACCTTTCTCAATACTTGTGACTTAGCCTTAAAAAGTCCACTTTGCTATTTCCTTGAGGTATTGAGTTAATTAAAAAACTTCTTTCTCTTCAGCTTGACTTACTTGTAATGAAAGCTGGAAAAATTAAAACGTGTTTCACAAGTGAGATTGGCAATGATGAAGGAGGCTGACAGTTTCCATGACATTACTTTGGGGAGTGGGAGCTGAAACTATCTTTTTGGAGGACACTCTGGCAATATGTATGAAAATGGAAAGCATGCATCCCTTTGGCTATAAAAATATATCCAAACATGTATGTACAAAAATATTCACCATATTTCTGTAACAGAAAATGGGGGAAAAAATCTACATATCCATCATCAGAATATTGATAGAAGTATGTGTGGTATTATCATAAAATGAAATAGTATACAACCGTTAAAAATGATGAAAATATTGATTTAGACAATGTTCTCCAGTGCATTGTTGAGTGAATAAAAATGATTTAATGAAAAAACTGAAAGAATTTCACCAAAATGCTAATGGAATCTGGGGTGATTTTTACTTTTTCTTTCTTTTTTTTTTTTTTTACATTTTTCTGTGTTGCTTGAATTTCCATAATAAATTTTTTTGTTTATAATTAATAGATTGCAATACAGTAAAAAGCTAATTTTATTTGGAAAAAATCCATGAATATCTTTAAAAATGTATATTTAAGGGGATGGGTACGTTTCAAATTAGAAGTTAACAATAAAGTGAATACAAGTTTAAAATGGAAGTTAACACAGATGTCATAATAAAGAGTAAAAAGACTGGCACATACAAAAAGAAAGCTATGGGCCAATCCTACTTATAAATAAGAAAAAACAATATGGTTTAATATCAGGAAAGTTATTATCAGTGATAAACAGTGAAAAAGCATCTGATCAAAAATGCCACATCCATATCTGATTATTACAATACTATCATAAATTACAAATAGAAAGATAATTGCTGAATATATATACTCTCTTTTGCTTAAAATCCTTTACGGCTCCTAACTGCACTTACAATAAAATTTTAAAACCTTAACAAGACAGCCTGCTCTGGACCCTGCTGGCCTGCATGACTTCATATCTCACCGATACCCTCCTCACTCTGCCACACTGGCCCTTACTTATTCTGTAGACACAGCAAACCCTTCCTCAGGGACTTTGCACACACATCGCTATCTACAAGGCTCTTTGCTCAGGACTTCATAAGACTGACTGCTTTTTTGTCCTTCTTTGTCTCAACAAAAAAGACATCAAAATATGGGAAGTGGTTATTTATCTCCACTTGGTAAATTAAATCCAGTCTAGTTATATCCTCTCATTTTTTTGAAAGCTTTTATTCCACTTACAGTAGATTTTCAAAAGAAAAAAACACAATAAACTGTTTTAATCTTAAATACTTTTTTTAAAGCTTATTTATTTATTTTGAGAGAGCATGAGTGATGAGGGGGTGCAGAGAGAGAGAGAGAGAGAGAGAGAGAGAATCCCAAGCAGCCTCCACACTGTCAGCACAGAGCCCTACGTGTGGTGTGGCTCCATCCCAGGAACCATGAGATCATGACCTGAGCCAAAGTCAAGAGTCAGTCACTTAACCAACCGAGCCAGCAAGGTGCCCCTAATCTTAAATACTTTTAAACTGTTTTTGGTACAATATGAAATGTTGGTCTAATGTTTTCCCTTAAATAGACAGCTATCCCAATACCATTTATTGAATAACGCAATTTAAAGTACTACCCTAGGGGTGCATGACCTGAGCCAAAACTAAGAGTCAGATGCTTAACTGACTGAGCCACCCAGGCACCCCAGATCTTTAAATGTTTCTAGAGTATTGTAAGATGATAGAATTTTAAATAAGACATAGACGTTATTCCTGTAATATTAGGTATGCCAGAATGGAAGTTGCTGGAATGACTGAATTGCGTAAAGATTTTCCCCATTATGTGTTTGTGCCTGTTATTAGTTTGTTGTTAACTTAAAATATTATATTTTTAATTTTTGGAGGAGCCTCCATACTGGGTTTAAAAAAAATTTTTTTTTTACGTTTATTTATTTTTGATAGAGTAAGACAGAGTACAAGAGGGGGAGGGGCAGAGAGAGAAGGAGACACAGAAT